TCATTAGCTCAGCATTTACGGTTAGTGCATAATGTATCACATGGTCTCCACGAGGAGTTGGAGAAGAACTATATTTGTAAAAAGTGTTCAAAATCATATGTTAGATTTCGCGCTTTTCAAAGGCACATGCTTCTTCATGATGATTAGTAAGTCTTATTGAACGTCATTGATAATTGGTTTCTAACGTGATGTTCTAAAACTGAGATTGCTAATAAGAAATTGCGAACGTTACAGAAGTACAACGTAATAACTATTCGTTCGGTGTGTACTTATGATTTGATAAGTGACGTTAGATTTTACGAATAATTTTATATTTTGATAAGTCAGTACTTAATACTTGATTTTTTTTATGTTTTTGTTATCATTTTTGTTGTCAATTCTTTAAAAATGTTCCTCTTTGTTTAGATTTTCTTATTAGTGTTTTCTATTAGAACTTTTTTTAGTTTGTGGTGTACTACAGCGAGCCTCATTACTACCGTATTTCCAGTGTATCACAGATTCTTCTCTCAACATTTTTATCATACAGTTAATTCTACATGGACTCTATTTTAATGAAGTATTAATTTAGAAATAAAAGAAGATATTTAATATTAAAAAGTAAAAGAAATACGAAGAAGAATATAGATAAAAATTTAAATTTTCGTAATTAACTTAAGATTTTTCAAAGAATATATGAATCTAACACAGAAATGAATGGAAACACAGTAGTAATAAACATTAATATTATTATTAATGAATAAATTGAAAACTTATTTATATCTATTTTTATATGGAAGACTCTAAAGCACAAAGTTGAGTATAACATTTGACTAATATTTGACTAATATTTGACTAATATTTTGTTCCTTTGTATCTATTCTTTTTTCTGAAATATATCATTAAAGTCTGTCTTACCATAACTGCATTCTTTCGTTTTAAGGATGAGAAAAAAAATCATAAACTCAGAATTTGGCAATTTATTTAGGGAATATACATATGTATATTTAGTAACTAACTTCATTTAGCATATATAAAAAAATATGTATTTTATATTTTTTATATATTCTAACGATACATCCAAAGTTTGATATTTATATGTGTATTCATTTTAATAGTATATTGCTGTGTCAAATATGTTTATTTAGGCAATAAATGTTTATTATTGATAAATTCACGTGCCTGAAGAACTAAAGCAACAATAATTGTAAGATCAAATTGTTAATGGTTTTCTACATTTTTGTATGATGAAAATTGATAAGGAAAATTGTTATCAAATAAAATGAAAGAAAAAAACATATCCTTAACATGTAATTTTCTTTGTACATACGAAAAACAATTTTACGAAGAAATAAAAGATATTTGGCTGTTTATTTTAGGTTTATTACGTACATTTGTCATTTGATAAGACACCAAATGCAAACACAGATATACGAGAATCTTTCATATAATCGTATTTGATGACATTATCGTATCATTCCGAAGTAGCGAATACATTGAATTCACTACATGCGTGAAATATGATTATCCTACAGTTGAATGTGTGACAGAATATCTCAAATGGATGCGTCTTTTAAAGGAAAAGGATAGAATCGTATGTTATTGCAGAACAAATTGTTAATTATTATATTTCAAGCGAGGTCGCGGAATTACATATTTATAACAGACATTAACATATGTCGTACAAAATATTGTTCACTTTATTAATGAATTTACTAGTAAAATTTTATTCGTAAAATATTACTTAAATTTAAATGTATATTATTTTATATTTGAAATTCAAATAATTGAATCTTGCAAATATATTCTTTAGGAGTTAAAATATAAAGACAACATAAAACTTTAAATTTATTGATAAGACTTTCAAATTTATTTATCGTCTAATTAATTACACTTATCGTTTAGCACTTTCTTGCGTAGAACTTAAAAAATAGAACTTGGATTCACGAATTTTTAAAAATGTCTAGTAAATTAGTTACCTGTATAATTGCAGCAATATTCAATTATTTATAATTAAAAACATTGTGATATATCATAAAAATTTTTTATAATATACATTTGTGTTAACGTTGCTGTATATTCACAAAAAACTTTTTGTTTACAAAACTGATTTTCAAGAGCAGAATTTCACGTAATGCAAAATTAAAAGTATCTCTTTAATTTTGTTTACTTAAATTTTTCCTGTTGAGTATAGTAATTTGCATTTTTTAATAAATAGGAGGAATATTGTGTTGCGCGCGATATCTATAGTATTTAAAATTGTGGTAAGTACGTGGTAAGTGTTGTACATTTTTTTGTTATTTTAACAATATTATTTTTTAGTATAAATGCGATTATTAATTTCATATTGTTTTGAAACTAAAATATGAGCTTTATTGATTTAACTAAAAATCATTTAAAATATTTAATAAACAATCATTGTATAACTATTGAAAGTGTTGAAATTGCAATGAATTTGATCGTGTATGTAATTTGTATTGTAATTTAAATTTATTTTTAATTTGTTCACAATAACTTCTTACAATCGAAAGACCACTCGAGGATGCGTTTATGATAGTTGAACATTATGTGTTCGTTCATCGAAAATTGAAACCTTTAGCATTGACTTACTTTCGTACAATGGTGAGTGCGTGTGTCTTCTCGATGAATCCCTACTCTTTTCTTTGACATACGCAGTTAATTTACTTGTCTCGATCATATCGATAGATCGCGTCTTATACTAAATTTACAATAATCTCTACATCCCGCCCACCGATTAATGACGATTAATCCTTATTGTTAATGTCAGAAATCGGTAGTTTACATAGTTTATTGATTGCTCATTTGCAGATTCCATTCGCCGTTTTTAATGTAACGACGCATATTTTGTCGTCTACACCTTTATGTGTTTCGATGACCCTATCCAATTTCCATTTTAAAGGCGGTAAATTATTTTCTTGTATAAGTACAACGTCGTCAATAATCAAATTAGGTTTTTCAATCTTCCATTTTAGTTTACCCTGCAATGACGTCAAATACTCTCTATTCCATCGTTTCCAAAAATCCTGGGTAATTCGTTGAATCAATTGCCAACGGTCGAGTCGATTAACCGGAGCGTCAGACAAGTCATGGTCCACGAGACTCATCAACGGTTCCCCAATAAGGAAAAGTCCCGGTGTGAGCGGTTGCATATCCGCTGGCGAGGAAGACAACAGACAAATGGGACGCGAGTTCAAACACGCTTTAACTTGAATTAATACTGTTAATTACTTGAATTAAACTGTAGTCAATTCTTCAAACGTTAAAAGTCGCTCACCAATGATGCGCTTTAAATGAAACTTACAGGATTTAACACCTGCTTCCCAGAGACCTCCTATGTGGGGTGAAGCCGGTGGAATGAACTTCCACTCAATGTCATTAGACTTGCAAAGCGCATCGACTATTTTTTCGTTCTCCCTCCTTATTAAAATGTTGTATTTCTTGTAATTCATTTTTTTGCTCCGATAAAGTTAGTTGCATTGTCGCCGTAGAGAGAAAAACCGGGCCCAGGAGAAGAAAATTACGGGCCCCTATTTCGCGCAGGTATTACCCCCAATCAGGAGCGGCAGATTTAGAATTCTTAATCTAATTTAAATAAGGAAAAAACGCAGGGAAGGAAAGACTAACTAAATATTTTCAACATGCTTGCAAGATTTTTCGTTTTCTATTTTATTTTATAGATTTGCTAGATATTTGCAAGAACACATTTTTTGCAAGAAAAAAATATGACACGTGTTATATTATTTTCTATATACGTACGTATATTATGAAATTAAGTTTAGACTAAATGCTCTTTCCGTGCTTTGGCCGATGCAAAAGCGTTAATTAATATTTTAAAATCTGCCTTGTCAATGCCGATTCTAGGCAAAGAGTGCCTAAACAGTGTTTCTAGCTTATTAGAAGTAATAGCGTTTAACAAATCAAACGGAGAGAGACCGGCTTCAAAGTTTGCTTCGTAGATGTATTTTAGATGGATTATTTCATCTATTAATTCTTTAGACACATCAACAGCGTATTTCTAAACAAAATTGATAACGTCGATCCGAATGTTCTCTTCATCTAATGTTGTAAATTTCCACAAAAAAGAAAACGTGTTATTCAAATCGTTCATTGCAGTAAAACGATTAGAAATTCCTGCAATAACTGAATCTACAATTACATAAAAAGTATTTATTTTAAAATTGGTTTCTTCGTCAGTAATAGTTATACTGGTGGAATCTTCACCCTTATTTTCGGAAAATGTCTTAGCTCGTTTATTTTTTCTTCTACTCACAGATAATGTTGACGAAGTACCCTTTAATCCACTTGCGACTAGTTTACATTCGCGTAAAATGGCATTCCATTGATTTCGTATTTGCTGCATATCCAAAAGTAAACTTTCAAGATTTTCAACTTCGACGTCGATTGTAGCGTTTCTAGCCTGTTTAAATAGAACGGTGCTTTTTTCATTGACGGTATTTAGAATTTTTGACCATATAGATGCCATCAAAATACATTCAAATTTACTAATGTATTTTTGGATTCCATCAACATCTCTACGAGTTTCCGCGGTCAAATTGAGTGTTTTCTAACGCACTTTGAAGTCCAGGGAGATGATTTGTAAAAGGTTTCACAGCGTCAATTCTGGCGGACCATCGCGTCTCAGATAAACTGTGAAGTGAAGATCCAACTTTATTTTTTAAAATCTACCAACGCTGCGGACTGCTGCTGAAAATAGCGTAGCACTTTTGAACGACTCCGAAAAACGTGATGGCTTTGGAACAACACTCGACAGAATCTACTCCACATAGATTCAAACTGTGGCCGGAACAGGGTGAATAAACAGCAAGCGAATTATCTCGAAGAATGTAGCTTTGTGCTCCTTTATATTCACCTTTCATATTGCTACCATTATCGTATGTATCCTTGTCCGCGGCATTCAGTCAAAGGAATGTTATGTTTTTTTAAAGTGTCACGTATCAAATCAGCAATAGCCGCACCAGTTTTCTTATTACAATCAACAAACTCTAAAAAGCGTTCTTCAATCGTATACTTTTTTCTTCTGGATTTAAATAAAGATAGTGTAAAATGAAAGTAGTTTGTTCAATGTGAGCGGAATCGGGTGTGGCGTCGACGATTAAGGAATAATATTTTGCCTTTTCTCGTTCTTTTAATATGGCCGATATCACATAACGAGCACACAGATCTATAAATTCGTTTTGTATATCCGGCGAAAGATAGTGGCATTGCAGACGCTGGTGTAGCTGTTGGAACGTCTTCACTTTTTCCAAATGCTCGCGTAATAACGGATCGTAGTGGCTAATCAATTCTAAAATTCCCAAAAAAATTCCGTTGTTTCGTTTTCCAATAAGATGACTTTCCCCTCTCAGTGCTAAACCTCTTTCTCCCAGAAACAAAATTGTATCTAAAATACGTGTTAAAATTTCTTGCCATTTCTTAACTTCACCCTTGATTTGTTCACACAACAGCTTATCAATTGAAGATTCATTTCGGACATTCATTTCCATCCCACGCCACTTCACATAACATTGAATGTGATCTTTATTATTCTCATGTGATTGCAGTCTTTCGTACAATTTTTTCCACACCAGGTTTTTCGAATATCCGCCCGGAGAACAAAGATAAGAACGATTCACTGTATTTATACTAAATAACCGACATGGAAGGCAAAAGAAAGCACTCTTACTGCGGCTCCAAACTAACCAATCGCGTTCCACCTTTTCACCATTAGGCAAGTTTTTGAACAGCAGCGATACGGGAAACCATTCATTCGACCGATCATGAGGAAAGACAGAAGGTATTTTTTCTCGAATGCGAATCATTTCATCAACCAGTTGTGGAAGTAAAAAATCAGTGTCTACAGTACCAATGTCATAGTCGTAAAGATGGTTAGTCAAGTGAAATTGGGACGTTGATTGCACTTCTGATTCGCGTTCTGTGGATGTGGACTTTTGAATCATTGCAGCAAAATTTACATCAGTTTCTACAGGCAGATTTTCCTTTTCCTGCACCAGATCAGACGAAACAAAAGTAACAAACTGTTCAGCTTGGTTACAATCAGATTCAGTTGTCGCGGACGAAGAAGCACACGGAAACGATTGACTACTTTGCCTTTCAGTCGAATCATGACTTTGATTTACACTGGCATCTGAACTTTTCTTAGAGTGAAAATTAAAATCAGTAAGAGTTGCTTGTCTTCTTTCTGCAATTAAAGTTTTTTGTTCGCGATCTGTGCGTTGTTTTCGCTTTTGCGAACCAGATTTGTGATAGGACATTTCTATATTTTATTTACCTAAAAATCAACAATAATAATTATAATAATAGTAGCATTGCAAAAAAAGAAGAAGAATTAAAAAATCCGAAACAAAAATATGAATAAAGCCACATTACCTACCTGTTAAGACTTGAGAGAACAAGCACAGAAACGCAGCACCGCAGTTATCAACGCTATAGAGAGATGAGCGCAGTGGCAATAAAACACGACGCGTAGAAACAAAAGCACATCTAGATACAATTTTTCGACGTTCGCTTATAAATACGGAAATACGGAACTGTGAATAGCAAAATAATCTTTAAAAAGCTAACTCTTGCAGCCATTTGATTCCGCTACAACTTCTACTTCTATTCATTCTTGCAAATTATTCTTTGGTCTGTTTATTATATAAATAATTTTTAGTAATTTTTAGTAATTATATAAATAATTTTTAGAACTTGTATAACATTGTACATTTCTTATTTTACAGGAATTAAAATAATACTTAATATCAAATTATTAAATTGCTTGTCAATTTAATTTGTGATATTATGTACTTCGGATTCAGTTTAAAACTATATTTTAAGACAATCAAGACCGACAATCATTCGGCGCGCAGTTTTCATGAGCTGGAAATTGTAAAATTCACGTATAAATATTATCGAGCACCAAAATCCGCTTTAGACCGCATTAGGAAGTTTTCTCTTATTGTTTGATTTATTCTTAGCGCTTTTGACTATACTAATGTTTATCGTGCTTTAATTTTATAAAACATTTTCAAATTTTTAAAATGAATTTTAAATTTTAAAATAAATTTTAAATACCATAAACATTAATTTGATTATTTAATATTTTCTGGATTTTGCAATCAATTTTCAGAAACGAATATACGAACTTTTTTCTTATTCTTAAAATATTTTGTTGATCAAAACAAATTTTCTCATTTTTTACTTTCATAATATAATTTCTTTCTAAAAATTTCCGATTAAATAATAATTAATTTGTTTTCCGCAATTATTCTTTAGATTATACATCAGCTGGAAGAAGTTCAAAAGTAATCTGGTAGGATTGATAAAGTTATTTTTTTATATATTATTTATATATTACATAAATTTATTTATTCGTAATCTATAACTTGCCGAGCGATTGAACATGAATGGTTGGCTCTATAGGTAAGAACTAATCATGTTCAGTCGCTCGGTGAGCAGGTTAACTGCTTTACAAACTTGAACGCGCTCTATTGTTTCGAAAACAATGAGCATTTAGAAAATCGGGATCCTCAAAAAATCTGAACCCTTCAAAAAATCCGGGCCCGGGGGAATCACCCCGTCACCCCCCCTCCCCTCTCGTCAGGCCCGACTGTCGTTAAATATACGCTATGAACAACCGCGACGCCCAATGAAACGTCTTAGTGCAGCTATAAATGATGCCGCACTAAGATCGCTAACGACTTCAAGATGTATCGCCTTCGTTGTAAAACATATAAATAACGCTATACAGGGTGTCTCAGACCACCCGTACCACCCTTTTAAAAGGTAGGGATGTGTTTGTACAAAAAAATGGTTCAGACAAAATTTGCAGGATTTCGGGAGATCTATCTGATGGTGACCTTGAATTTGACCTTGAGGTCGACCTTGGGCATAACTCAAGGTCAAAGTACCGTTTTACAAATGTAAACCCTTATTCATGACTTCAGAAATGAAAAGAGCGGAAAATTTTACGTCCGAATACGTTATCAAGTCTAGGTCAAAATTACCCTTAGAGGTCATGTGGAGGTCAAGTTACTTTTAGAGCACCCGATCCACCCTTCTAAAAGATATGGATGTGTTTGTACAAAAAATAGTTCAAACAATACTAGGTATTTACATAGCTATGATGCATCCATCTGCTGGTGAATTTGAATTCTACCTTTAGATTCATTTGTAGTCGTGTACATCGATTTTTAAAGATTCCTAATTATCAAGATCTTAAATGAATCTAAAGGTAGAATTCAAATTCACCAGCAGATGGATGCATCATAGCTATGTAAATACCTAGTATTGTTTGAACTATTTTTTGTACAAACACATCCATATCTTTTAGAAGGGTGGATCGGGTGCTCTAAAAGTAACTTGACCTCCACATGACCTCTAAGGGTAATTTTGACCTAGACTTGATAACGTATTCGGACGTAAAATTTTCCGCTCTTTTCATTTCTGAAGTCATGAATAAGGGTTTACATTTGTAAAACGGTACTTTGACCTTGAGTTATGCCCAAGGTCGACCTCAAGGTCAAATTCAAGGTCACCATCAGATAGATCTCCCGAAATCCTGCAAATTTTGTCTGAACCATTTTTTTGTACAAACACATCCCTACCTTTTAAAAGGGTGGTACGGGTGGTCTGAGACACCCTGTATATGATTTGTTAGTTTTTCTGCCGCGACCTTGATTAATTAACGTTATAATCGGTCCCGTAAAATCTACTCCGGTTGTAAAAAAAGCACGTCTCGGAGTAACGCGATCCGCGGGAAGTTGACCCATTAATTGTGATACAGCTCTTGGTTTGTTTCGAAAACAAATCACACAGTTATGCACGACCTTCCTTGCGATGTTTTTTCCTCTGATTGGCCAATATCTTTCGCGTATCGAGTATAATAAGGCCTGAGGGCCCGCATGCAACAATCTGATGTGTTCGCGCTTGAATAATAGTCGCGTATATTTGCTATTCGAAGGTAATACAATAGGATGTTTTTTATCACGTGCAATTGATACGTTCTGCATTCTGCCGCCCACCCTGAGGATACCTTGTTCGTCAAGAAAGGGACTGAGCGATAGTAATTTATTATTTGAATTGATTTGACCCCTTGTCTCAATATTCGACAACTCCATTGCGAAGTGAGTTTTTTGTATTGTCTTAATAAGCGTTCGACGAGCCTTGCAAATTTCACTCGTTGATAAATGGCCGAACTCGCGATCCGATTGAATTGATCTTGCGTTAACAATAAATCGAAAACTCCAAGCTATTATACGTTCAATCTTTGTAAGTGCCGATTGATCATCCAATAATCCTTGAATAGTCTGATTAAACTCATTGGTGCTCAAGAATATTCGCGAACCCGAAACTTCCTCCATCTGGATTGTTTTAATCTCTGATGGCGAAAGATCCACCAATTGCGCCTCACCCGACGGATAATCTGTGTATCTCAATAACCACTCGGGACCCTCCCACCAAAGCTTACAATTTTTTAAATCCCTGAATGTTATACCTCTAGATATTAAATCAGCTGGATTGTCTTTACTTCTTACGTGACTCCAGTGATCCGAAGGAAGAACGGATTGAATTTCAGTTGTTCTATTAGATACGAACATTTTTTGACGGGATGGATCGCCGGAAATCCATGCTAATGCTATCGTGGAATCGCTCCATGCATAAATTCCATCGAAATTAGTTTTAAGAATGTGTCTCTCACACCTTGAAGCAATCTAACCAAGATTACAGCTCCGCAAAGCTCCAATTTTGGCAAAGTGATAGTTTTGTTTTTTATCGGTGCGACTCGCGACTTCGAACAGAGTAAACTAGAATGACAATTATTCTCCCGATCGACAGTCTGCAAGTAGATGCATGCTCCGTATGCCCTCAATGAAGCATCACAGAAAGCGTGCAAATACGATCGAACCGCGTCAGTGCTCGAGACTACTTTACGCGGGATTTGAATCGCACGAACTTCCCCCAAATCCTCCGCATACGCCCTCCAAGCTTGTTGAAGGTCACGCGTCAATGGATCGTCCCAGCCCAAATTCGATGCCCATGTTCCTTGCATTATTAGTTTAGCACGAATTGAGATGGGGCTGATTAAACCCAAAGGATCAAACAATCTCGAAATCGCCGACAAAACTTCGCGTTTTATTTTAATAGAATTTGTTATTGATTGAACTGAAAATTGAAATGTATCCTGCTCGGAGTGTCAATTTAACCCCAATGTCTTGACGGTATCTACATTAATTGTAACTGTCGCGGATTCATCGACTCGATTGCTGGCTTCCAAAACCTCTGTACAATTTGAATGCCACTTGTGTGGCTCGAATCCGTCGCTGTTTAGCAATGTCTTTAATTGCGATATTAACTTAATTGCTTCGTTTTTACAACTGACTCCTGTTAAAATATCGTCTACATATAAATCATTCAGCAGCACATGCGATGCTTGCCGAAACTCGTCGTTTGCACTACTAGCTAAGTGCCTAACGCAACGAATTGCCAAAAACGGAGCACATGCTAGTCCGTATGTCACTGTGTTCAAATTAAATTCCCGTATGGCATCGGTCGCGGAAAATCGCCACAAAATTCGCTGATAATTTCGATCCTGGTTATGCACTAAAACTTGTCGATACATTTTTTGTAAATCAGCAGTGATCGCAATAACATGCATTCGAAATCGCAAAATTATGTCGGTTATAGTGTCCTGCATATTCGCCCCTACCTTTAATGTATCATTCAACGAAATCCCGCTTGTACTTTTTGCAGAACCATCAAACACCACGCGCAATTTTGTTGTGGCGCTTGATTCGCGAATTACACCGTGATGCGGCAGAAATACTGGAGACGTTGAATTAATTTCTTTCATAACTTCAGACATGTGTCTTAATTCGAGATATTCTCGCATAAACTCCATGTATTGTACATGAAATTTTGAATTTAATTGAAATTTACACTCCAAACACTTTAGTCGCCGCATCGCAATGTCTCTTGATTGTCCCAGCTAATTTTTATTGTTTCGAAAGGGCAATCTAACTGCCCGGATACATCGCGAATCATCGTATTTACAAAATGTTTCTCACAATCTCTCTCCTCATTCGATAATTTCGTATGTTTATTTGTTTGACATTCCTCTAGATTCCAAAACCTTGACAGCGTATCGTCGACCGATTCCTTTTCCACGAATAAACATGTAAGCATACTCTGAGATTGACGGCTGGTCGCCCGGTCTACCACTAAATGTTCGGGAACCGAGCTCGCTATCATCCAGCCGAATTTGCTGTTCTGCAGTGTCGGTAGATTTTCGCCAAGCTCAATTCTCCCATTCAGCAGCAGCTGAAGAAAGAATTCTCCGCCCACTAGCGCGTCTATACTAGGATTGTAAAAAAATGTATCTGCTAGTTTCAAATTTTCTGGAATTGATAATTGTGAAGCTAAAATAGAAAATAATGGCAATTCCTTTGTTATCTTTGGAAGGACCAGACACTGCAGATTCAACTCGAAATCCGATACGCGCGATTTTATTTTTAATTGACAAGCATGCCTTACCGAACAATTCATGTTATTTAATCCGTTAATAGATTCATAAACGTTATCCATCCTTAAGTCTAGTTGTTTGCATGCGGCCGCTGTTACAAAATTTATTTCGCTGGCGCTATCCAGCAAAATTCGTAATTGATAATTATAGCCATTATCTTGTTTTGCGCGTACAACGGGAAAAAAGTGCCGTCGACATTAACACTCTTTTACGCTCGCTCTCACCTGCCATGTGATGCACGGATGGCCCGCTTGCTGACTCCGCGTGACTCGAAGATCCCTGGGATGAATCGGTCGCTGCCGCTGATCTTCCCGCTGAACTCCCCGTAGATGAGCTTCCAGGCCTCCTTCCTGACTCCATTTGTGAACCGCTTGCCTCCCTTGCGAAGTGGCACAGCGTGTTATGCCTGTCACCGCATTGTCGACATGAACTCGATCTGCAGTCTATCACGAAGTGATCATTTCGAAGACAGTTCATACACAGTTTTAATTTCTTGACTTCTTGCACTCTTTCTTTGGCCGACAATTCTAAAAATTGTTTATAAGAGTAAATGAGATGCTGCCTTTGGCATAGATAACATTGTCCCGATTGAATTGTTGTAGACAAGGATCTTATTGTGTGATTTTGAAACAGCCGTTTGTCGGTGTTTATTTCCATCGGTGTGATCTTCACGTGATGATCTGTTCGCGCCGTCCTTGTCTCCGGCCAACGATGTTCGCTCCAACACCTGAGACTGACGTTGTAAAAATTCGATTATGTCGCTCGTCGTTATTGTTTCTCTTTCCGCAATATGTTCCTCCCATCGTCCTCTTGTTGCCTTGTCTAATTTTTTCTCGATTAAATAGACGATTAATTCTCCCTATGACTCTGTAGGTGAATTCAGAAGTGCAGGAGTGCAGAATTTTTAAATGTTTCTGAACATGGTCCACCAAATTTTGAATTGCGTCAGCAGACTCCCGCTGCACCTGCGGCGTCTCAAATAGGCACTGGACGTGTCGCTTCCGAATGACTCGTTCGTTCTCGTATCGTTTCTTTAAAAGTTCCCATGCGATCGTATAATTTTGATCTGATATTTCGATTGATTCTATTGTTTTAGCTGCTGGGCTGATTAGTGATCCGATTAAATATTGATGCTTCTGTACGTTTGAAAGATCGCTGTCATGTATCAAAGTCTTGAAGGTATCAGCGCATCTTTTCCAATCCTCAATAATACCGCTGAATGTTGGTAGTTTTATGATCGATAGCTTTATTTGCGGCTGTCGCGATGCACCCGATTGTGCATCCACGCTCTCCAATAATCGACATTGTTGCTCCAGTATACGTGTCAATGCCGCGTTCTCATTTGATTCGTTTGATCGCTCTGTTAAATGTTGAATCAGAGTTGCTTGTTGCTCCATTATTCGCGTTAACGAACCATCGCTGGGTTGACTTCCACTGCTTGCTGGAAACACAAGATGTTGGCCGCAATTTGTTAATAGACTGTGTCAATGATGCCTTCAAGATGAGATATCGCTCGTCAAATTCAGCTGCTTCGTCAGCGTCCCTCTCCGCATATTCCTCCTCGGAGATTAATGTCACTAATTGTTGTGAAATCCCTTGAAATCGTTCGTAAGCTCCGTTCAGATTATCAAGGCGCGCTTCCACCTTCTCTTGTGAAGTGTCTTCCAATTTGTTGACTTTACGATTTCTAAAATTCTCGGTGGCTGTTAATTTTGCCTTGAGATATCCTCGTTGCCTTCACAATTGATCGGCACTCATTATTCTTATTCTATTGATGAATTCACGAGGACAGCTCGACTTACCTTATTCTCACGATGAGTCGAGAACAATACTCGATACAGAAAAACCAACAACACAATCCATCAATCCCCGAGACAAACTTAGCGAGTGTTTTTTGGCATAATGATGCGGTCACTATTTATATGTGAATGTTCTAAACGATCATTTTCATTGCAAATTCAAATTGTTAGTGTTAAGGGGTTATACTACCCAGGCGCACTGAAAAATGAACGTTTTTTTTGGGAATTTTTTTCTTGGAAACTATTCAATGGATCATGGAAAATGAAATTTGAGGCTTTATTATACATGTTTTGAGGTATAAAAAAAATTTTTATTATAAACAAAATGGCGTCTTGGCAAGTGGTAAACGGAACATGTGTTTTTTCCGAGGAGCGAATCTGCGTACATCATAATCCCGCATGCATCAAGTTGTTCATCCCGTTCCCTTTTCCCCAATCACGTACCCAACAATAATAATAGTAACAATTCAATATACTGTGTTTTGATTTTGTTAAGAAATCAAAACATGTATACTTTAAAACACAACAATTGTTTATAAATTCTAATTTATATAATATATGTAAAATTTTGTTTTGCATATTAAATCTAATGTTTTATATATCATAATCCAATAATTTAACGACAAATTTTTTTTTTGCTCTAGGTGCTGTTCGGAGAATGTTATGATGTACGCAGATTCGCTCCTCGGAAAAAACACATGTTCCGTTTACCACTTGCCAAGACGCCATTTTGTATCAAAAGTTATAATAAAAATTTTTTTTATACCTCAAAACATGTATAATAAAGCCTCAAATTTCATTTTCCATGATCCATTGAATAGTTTCCAAGAAAAAAATTCCCAAAAAAACGTTCATTTTTCAGTGCGCCTGGGTAGTATAACCCCTTAATAAAGTTCGTTTACTTGTACATTTTATTTTGCTAATTCGAACACACGCACTCATCCGGCTCGAAAGAACATTTTATGTTAAAATTGGAATGAATTTGATCGTGTAATGTATTGTAGTTTAAATTTATTTTTAATTTGTTCGTAATAACTTCTTACAATCGAAAGACTACTCGAGGATGCGTTTATGATAATTGAACATTATGTGTTCGTTCGTCGAAAATTAAAACCTTTAGCATTGACTTACTTTCGTACAATGATGAGTGCGTGTGTTTTCTCGATGAATCCCTACTCTTTTCTTTGACATGCGCAGTTAATTTACTTGTCTCGATCATGTCGATAGATCGCGTCTCATATTAAATTTACAATAATCTCTACAGAAAGGTTTTATTTAAATATTTTATATTTTGTTGTAACGTGATATTTGTTAAAACCTAAATAGGTAAATTATTGGATTATGATATATAAAACATTAGATTTAATATGCAAAACAAAATTTTACATATATTATATAAATTAGAATTTATAAACAATTGTTGTGTTTTAAAGTATACATGTTTTGATTTCTTAACAAAATCAAAACACAGTATATTGAATTGTTACTATTATTATTGTTGGGTACGTGATTGGGGAAAAGGGAACGGGATGAACAACTTGATGCATGCGGGATTCGTATAATATAACCGTCTAAAGGTACAGTCCGAGCGTGGATCTACATGCTAAGACGCGGGGAGCGAGACTGCCCGATCGCATGGCGCAGCGCCATCTGTGTCTCGGTGTAGGGACCGAGGTACCCAACATCTTCCCCCTTGGGAGAAGTGACCATTGGGAGTAACTTTTGGCTGACGAGTCCAGAACGAGTCTTCTGGGGGCCATTCGGTGTCGGATGAACCTGATCGGAGTTGGATGGTCCGATGGAAGTTTCTGGCTATGATCGACTAAGGTTGGAGCTGTGGAAGAGGCTTCTGGTCGGTGATTCGTCTCGGGGCGGGAGGAACGTCTTGCGGAGAAGTCTGTGGCGAATGAGGCTGATAGAATGTCCAGCCGTTATCTTGATGCGTAGGTGGCATAAGAGCGGGGGAGCCACCTTTCCAGATGTGATTAATGTGTCGGTCGATGACCTTGCCGTCATCGAGGCGTATTGAATAGTTGGTATTTGATGTGGCCTTGATGATACCTTGTTCCCTTTTGTCCTTACGGGTTAGTACCACTACTCGATCTCCCACCGTTAAGTGGCGTGATCGAGCACCGTGATGCTTCGAAAATTGTTTTGACATGTCTTGTTGTTTGGTTGAGAGTTCCGCTGAAGCCGGATTCGGGGTGTTATGTTTCGAGAGCCACTTGGTAAACGGAGAGTTCATACGGCGTCCAAAAAAGAGGTCGGCTGGAGCTTTGCCCTCGGAGGCATTCGAGCAAGGGCGATAGCTGTAGAGAAAGTCGTACAGCTGCTGCTTCTAGTTGGATGGGTCCTTGGTGATTGTTCTCTTTATGGTATCTATAATACCATTCTTTCGGCCTGGCCATTAGACTGTGGGTGGTTGACCGGGGAGAGTAGATGAGAGATCTGCATTTCCCTGCACAGGGTGGCGAACGTTTCAGAGGTGAACTGCGTTCCGTCTGAGACAAGCACGTCCGGTGGACCGTATTTGCAAAAAAATTCTCGACAAAGGTCGGCAGTACGATTAGCTGATATAGTGAAGGTGATAGCGACGTCGATGAATTTAGAGAATGCGACCACGAAGATAAGTAGATATTGACCGTCGACTGGGCTAGCGTAGTCTAGGTGTACACGTTCCATCGGACGTGTTGGAGTGGCCCACGGGTTCAGTGGTACCTTTACAGGAAGTTTCTAGTTCACAGCGCAAGGGTCGCATTGGTGAATGAGGCGTTCGATGTTTTCCGACATTTTTGGCCAATACATGTACTCGCGAGCGAGTTGTTTGGTTCTACGTATTCCCGGGTGGCCTTTGTGGAGAATGGCTAGGATCATAGGTCTGAGTTCCTCAGGGATGATTCTGTCGCCCAGGAGTAATGTATCGTCGATGATACTTAGATCTTTTGCATGTCTCTTGTAGAGTTCCACGTCTGAACTTACTTTTGCCTTCCAGCCCTGTTTGATGGCTTGGAAAACAGCGCGTAGAACGGAACGCTCCTTAGTTGCTAACTTCAGTTTGTCTCGAAGTTCTTTACCGAAAAAATCGATTGACAAGTTCTTGATCTGAAGAACCTCTGATTCGACATCACAGATGCAAGCTACTTGAAATTCTTCTGCATTGTCACGACGGAAATTATCAATTAGACGTGAGAGTGCGTCTGCTTGGCCAAAATCCTGAGTACGTATGTATTCGATTTTAAAGTCGTAACCCAGTAATCGTATTGCCCAGCATTTAAGCCGGACTGCTGTCGTTGGTTTGAGTCCCTTAGTGTTGTCGATTTGCAATAGCGCTACGAGGGGTTTGTGATCTGTTCGTAGTGTGAATTTTCTTCCCCAGACAAACTTATGGAATCGCTCGACGGCTGTGACGAGTGCGAGTGCCTCTTTCTCCAGCTGGGAATAGTTACATTGAGCGCTAGTGAGACTTTATGCCATGTGGAAAACTGCTCGTTCGTGACCGTTAGAGTCACGTTGCAAGAGAATGGCACCGATTCCAGTAGCACAAGCGTCGGCTGCTGTCACTAAGGTTTTCGAAGGGTCGTAATGTTCCAGTAGAAGAGGACTCAGCATAACCTTCTTGATTTGTTCGAACGCTGAGTCATGAGGTTGGCTCCAAGTCCAAGGGCGATTTTTGCGGGTGAGTTCTTCTAAAGGGTGTTTTAACTGATGTAGGTGAGGAATAACTTTCCGAAATATTTTCCGTAGTGATTCACCATACCAAGGAAACTGCACTTCTGAGACGGAGGTAGGTTTTGGCATGTTGACTATGGTAACCTCTGGATCGGCTGAAATGCCATGGGCGTTTATGATCCATCCTAAGAATTTGATTTCCTTTAATGCGAAGTGCTGCATTTCTCAGCTCTGAGTCTCCAATCTCTATCTTGCAGGCGTTGCAAGGTGTTGTGTAAGCGGATATCGTGTTCCTGTTGAGAGGAGCCTGTGACTACAATGTCATCCAGATATGCATACACTCCAGGAAAGTCGGAGAGTGTGAGATCCATGGCCTGTTGGAAAATAGCTGGAGCCGTTTTGATTCCGAAAAGTAGGCGTTTAAATCTGAAAAGTTCTTTCGGTGTTGTAATAGTTGTGACGTCACGATGAGCTTCATTGATCTCTAGTTGGAAGAACGCGTCGCTAAGGTCCAGTAAGCTGAAAAAACAACTACCATTTAATTTTGACATAATGTTTTCTACTGAGGGCAGCAGGTGCTTGTTATCCATGATCGCGTTGTTTACTCCTGTTGAGAAATCAACGCAGAGGCGAAGTTTGCCGTTTTTTTTCTTCGCGATTACGATGGGCGATGACTAGTTTGAGGTTTCGACTGATTTGATGATGCCGTTCGAGACGAGACGCGAAAGTTCTTCGTCGAGTAAGCTTTCCATGGCGAATGGAATCTGGCGGCATGGCGTTTGCACAGGGCGAGCGTCACTTGCAAGATCGAATTTTGCCTTGAAATCGCGGCACATGCCTAATTCTTCGGCGAATAGGTTCGGAAAATGACGGAGGACGGTTTCAAGATACGTGTCAGCTCTGGCACGACTCCACCACCTTCCGGCGGAGATTTCCGTTTTGTGGTGTTTTTCTTCTTAGATAGCGAGACCTTTAGCACTGACGGTTGAGAGTGTTTCATTGGATTTTCCAGCGTCTTTAGGCCGGAGGAAACGTTCATGTATGCTTCGAGCTCTGCGACGACATCCTTTAAAGAGGCATCCTGATTCTTCTCTATCACGCGGAGGGCGATTTTCTTTAGCTCGTTGTTATCCTTAGAGTAGCAAAATGATTGCAACAAGAGAAGGATGCGAAGGCTATCGTCTGTTATCTTGGAACGATCGAAATCGGCCGCGTGACGATTAATACGGTCGAGATGTTCTGTGATTGGAATTGATTTATCGTATCGATAGTTTAGAATTTCTATGCGGCGGTGAGTAATGGGAACTTTGTCACGAAAGAGTTCTTTTATGATGAGTTCGTCCTGAAGCATGCGCATTGGATCTAAAGGCGCGACATGGTCCACTAACCTGTCAAATTCCGTGTTTTGACCGAGCTTGTCTAGCACCAAACGTGTTTGAATTTGGGGTGGCAGGCATGCTGTTTCCGTGACGATTGTATATTCGTAGCGAAGCAACCATTTTGTAAAAGGTTTTACGTCGTCGCCAGAACCATAATGATATTTCTCTACACGAGCACTTAGATGATTGTAAGTCTCAGAGAGAGATGGTGCGTTAGCTCCTTCTTCTTGATCGCTTCATTTTTGTGTGAGCTGAAGTTGGAGAAGGCTGTTGATGGCGGCCGTCAGAGCCTCGATTTGTTTCGTCGTGTCCGTCATCCTCGGTTGAGATCACGTTGTTCACTTGAAAATCTTGTCCGCAGCACCAATTGTTGGGTACGTGATTGGGGAAAAGGGAACGAGATGAACAACTTGATGCACGCGGGGTTCGTATGATATAACCGTCTAATGCCGAAAGGTACAGTCGGAGCGTGGATCACGCTAAGACGCGGGAAGCGAGACTGCCCGATCGCATGGCGCAGCACCATCTGTGTCTCGGTGTAGGGACCGAGATACTCAACAATTGTATTTGAGTTTTTGAATTTGACAAGTTTATATTATTGTAATAAATCTAAATACGCCACGAATAATATTTTCATGTTGGGCCACGTTCAGAAATTTCATTCGGTATCATTTTATCCTTGTTCACCGAATGTTAAACGAGGATAAAGTGATACCTGGGTGCACTCGAGTGAAATTTTTGAATGTAGCCGTTAACCGTGACGTCACTGTGACGTCATGTAACTCACATCAGAGGCTATGTTTCAAAGTTACTGTCAGCACTGAAAATGCTACAGTTTACGTTACATGCACTATAGATTTTCAGTATTGGCAGTCAATTTTGGAACACAGCCAGAATAAGCGCGCAACATGGTGTCGCCGCGTTGCCTCGTGTCCTCTTCGTATTTCCCAACGTTGGTTTGTAAGAAACAAGTAAGTGCAATTTCGTATTTCGAAAAAATATATTATTCGAGCGAAACAGTTTTAAAAGTATGTACGATTAAACGATAAGGGAATGAGAGAAATTCCGAGATACTTGTAATAATTTAGGAATGCGTTCCGTTTCACGCATGATGCGCATAATGTAGCATTTTGTCCTTATTCATCGAATATTAAGCTGCATTCGGGAATGCACACCGAGTGCTTCCAAGTATAATTCTATCCTTGTTATTCACCGAGTGTTAAACAAAAGATAAATTGATACCCGGAGGCACTCTGTATATACGGAACGCACTTTAGGATTCGAGTCTTGCGAAATAGTTCCTCTATTTTGTCGGCTTTCTACGATAAAATTGTGAAAAAAATACGGTAAAATTGTAAACACCACGTATAAAAATACACGGAAAGAACGGTTTTGTTGAAATATCAAAAAATTTAGTTGGATACAGATCTGGAAGTAATTTTGTTTGAATCAACAAAAGCTGCATTCCGATTATATTTACTGTCAGTACTGAAAATTACTGTTGTGTCTATGACCAGTCACACGCACTATTCTAGTCTGCGATAGTATAGGATGAATTGATCACAAATTTATGAAGTCACAATATTAAATTTGTTTATTTGTCCGATTGTTCATATTGTCACAATATATTAATGTTTATCATTAAGTAGTCACTTTCACGAATAATCGCATATTCTTGAATCGTACACGTATAAACAGCTATAAGTTCACACGCTTTACCGACCTCGACAACGCCTGGGGACTGTCGTCCTGAGTCGAGGCGTGACACCGCCTGGGGACTGATGCCCTGAGTCACACTTTTTACCGACCTCGACAACGCCTGGGGACTGTCGTCCTGAGTCGAGGCGTGACACCGCCTGGGGACTGATGCCCTGAGTCACTTTCACGGCACGGACACGCAACTAACGCCTGAGGTCGTCACCTTGAGTCGCGGATGCTCGAGAAGATCACTTCACACACTGCCTGAGAGAGCCGATGTTTCACCGTGGCACGGTCAAAATCGAATGCCTAAAAAATCGTCCCTTCCCGATCATCGTACACGTCCGCCGTCGTCGCCGAAATCCCCGAAGGTTGTTTTTCCGCCGATTCGTATATTCAAAGAGGCCGCGGTATCGATGACTCCGAGATATCGCGCGAATCGTTTCCACATGGTTAAACCGAGAAGAAAGACTGGATTATTAATTTCTTAATTATGGTACTATATGTATAATAGTAATATTATTTTTATTGTATTTTGAACAGCATTTATAATTGTATTTTGTTAAATATATCAGAATTACTCGTTAATTGGATAAATTTTTCTCGTTAACTATACCGCAGAATATCTTAAACAATTACAGCATTACGTTAAGGTAAATGTCTCAGTGATAAGACATGTATCTAATGATATAGCTTGCTGAATTTATAACTTCAACAGAACCGTTCCTTCCATGTACCTGTAAAAATTCATCTTTCATACATTCGTTAAGAATTCATTATATTCCGAATTTCTCTCGCCGCGTTACGCAGAGAAAAGGATACGTATAAAAAATACACACATCTACTCTATTTATTTCGGTTCAGGCAAGCTTGTGTTACGTCCTGGCGACTTCACGATTCTTTTCTTTCATGGAAAAAATCTATTTCCTTTTTCTC